TCTTGGCCATAGTGGAGTTTGGAGTGTGACTGTTTGAGGTTGTGGACAGGTGTCTTTTATACTGATAACAAGTTCAAACAGGTGCCATTAATACAGGTAACGAGTGGAGGACAGAGGAGCCTCTTAAAGAAGAAGTTACAGGTCTGTGAGAGCCAGAAATCTTGCTTGTTTGTAGGTGACCAAATACTTATTTTCCACCATATAATTTGCAAATAAATTCATTAAAAATCCTACAATGTGATTTTCTGGAAATGTTTTTCTCAATTTGTCTGTCATAGTTGACGTGTACCTATGATGAAAATTACAGGCCTCTCTCATCTTTTTAAGTGGGAGAACTTGCACAATTGGTGGCTGACTAAATACTTTTTTTCCCCCACTGTATATTCTCAAATTCCATTCCTTACTAGATTTGTGGGTATATGTTGTGAAATTGTTAGATATTACTTGTTAGATATTACTGCACTGTCGAAGCTAGAAGCACAAGCATTTCGCTACACCCGCAACAACATCTGCTAAACACGTGTATGTGACAAATAAAATTAGATTTTATTTGAAATTTGATTTTATTTAAATGCCAAGAGTGTGGAAAGCTGTCATCAAGGCAAAGGGTGGCTACTTTGAAGAATATCAAATATAAAATACATTTTGATTTGTTTAACACTTTTTTGGTTACTACATGATTCCATATGTGTTATTTCATAGTTTTGATGTCTTCACTATTATTCTACAATGTAGAAAATAATAAAAATAAAGAAAAACCCTTGAATGAGTAGGTGTGTCCAAACTTTTGACTGGTACTGTATATATAAAATATATATTTTTGAATATATTTTCCTGGTTGAATCTTTACTTGAACACTGGACGATGCCATTCATATACACCAGAGCCATGTATTTACATACAATTTGAAAAATGAATACATTGGTTCTCCAACTACCATGATAAATGTCCTGCAGGGAACCTCCTCCACAGTACTCCATGCAGATCCACAGCTTGTTATTTCTACCAAAGGAAGAGGCATACCGTTAAAGGACAGTGGTGTAAAGTACTTAAGTAAAAATACTTAAAAGAACTACTTAAGTCGTTTTTGGGGGTATCTGTACTTTACTTTACTATTTCTATTTTTTGACAACTTTTACTTCACTACATTCCTAAAGATAATAATGTACTTTTTACTCCATACACTTTTTACTGACACCCAAAAGTACAGGACAGGAAAATGGTGCAATTCACACACTTATAAAGAGAACAACCCTGGTCATCCCTACTGCCTCTGATTTGGCGGACTCACTAAACACAAATGCTTTGTTTGTAAATTATGTCGGAGTGTTTGAGTGTGCCCCTGGCTATCGATAAATAATAATAAATAAATAAAATTGTGCCGTCTGGTTTGATTAATGTAGGGAATTTGAAATGATTTATACTTTTACTTTTGATACTTAAATATATTTTTGCAATTACATTTACTTTTGATACTTAAGTATATTTAAAACCAAATACTTTTAGACTTTTACTCAAGTAGTATTTTACTGGGTGACTTTCACTTTTAATTGAGTCATTTTCTATTAAGGTACAGTACCTTTACTTTTACTCAAATATGACAATTGGGTACTTTTCCCACAACTGTTAAAGAAATACCTCATTGCATTTCATATCAAGTTTCAACGTAATGTTTGATTGCAAACCAAACCTGAGGTAGCTGCCGAAATAGGCTACAATGTTCTTGTGAGTGCATTCTTTAATCATGGTAATCTCCTGCTGGATAGATAAGATGTCATCACCTGAAGAGAGAGATGAGCAAAGACAAATTCAAATTCTGGAATATCACTTCTGCAACACAATGTGATTAAAGGTCCAATGCAGCCATTTTTTATCTCAATATCAAATCATTTCTGGGTAATAATTAAGTACCTTACTGTGGTTGTTTTCAATGAAAATTGTCAAAAATAACCAAAAATCGCTTCTTAGCAAAGAGCAATTTCTCAAGCAAGAATTTAGCTAGGACTGTCTGGGAGTGGTCTGAGTGGGGAGGGGAAAACTGAAAACTAGCTGCTATTGGCAGATAGGTTTGGAGCTCTCTTTCATATTTGTCTATTAAATAATTTATCGCCTGGTGACGTCACATGCTGAAATTTCAGGCAGTCTTTTCAAACAACTCTATAAAAGGGCATTATCATTATTTTCACAATTTCACACTATTATTCCAAACTCATAGTGTGGAAATGTATATTAAACACAGGAGAATCACGTTGACTGAACTGGGCCTTTAAGATAAAAACACAATCACACTTTGGGATAAATATCCTACCAGGATCTAGTTTTACAACTTTGATTGCAGAGATCACGGATGTCTTGATGTTTCGTGCCTATGGAGAAGACAAGAGTGCAAAAAAGTTAGTGATTTTTTTTCCTGATCATATGACATTGTGATTTCACTTCTTACTGTGAACTTTATATGTAGTGACATGACCTTTGAGGTATCACAGCTTCGCAGTTCTGCAATGGGAAAAACAAATAGTAGCGTACCACATATTACATTTTTTACATTTTTGTCATTTAGCAGACGCTCTTATCCATAGCAATTTACAGTTAGTGAGTGCATACATTTTCATACTGGCCCCCCGTGGGAAACGAACCCTGGCGTTGCAAGCGCCATGCTCTACCAACTGAGCTACTGGGGACCATCGTCACCAGTTGAAAGGAGTTGTGGGCCTTGTGATTTGTGGGCCTTGTGCTCACACTTTCTCTTCCCCTGAGAAAGCATTGGTGATAAGGGAAAGAACACCCTCACTGTATGGCTACAGCGCAGGAGGTTGGTGGCACCTTAATATTGGGGAGGACGGGCTCGTGGTAATGGCTGGAGTGGAATCTATGGAATGGTATCAAACGCATGGTTTCTATGTGTTTGATGCCATTCCATCAGCGCCGTTCCAGACATTATTACGAGCCGTCCTCCCCTCTGCAGCTTCCACTGGTCTACAGATCATACAGACACAATGCTTCTGTTACCAAGCAAATCAGCGAACGGCCACGCGGGAACTATGAGGCTCGTGTCAGTCACCGATAGAAGAACTGCTACCCTTGAAAAAAGACATCTGTTACGGAGCGTACTCACTTCCTGTTTTGTTTCTGTAGTAAAAGACTTCCGGAGATGAAAGGCATGTAAGAGTAATGTATCATATTGCAGCAGAACTTTTACCTCATGGACAAAATGAGGCTATTATTGCAAATATCTGATCAAGATCACTTACCAAACAGGACCTAGGCAACCAACCCTTCCCTTCTTTCATAATGATCTACTCATTAACTTTTTTCAATGAGAAAAAGTAAATTAATTACAGAAATCTCTCCAATACTTTACAAGGGTTTCTTGGGTGTCATGTGCTATGACAGTGAAGCTGCAGTGAAAATACTATATTTGCTGGCCATTCCAAATATCATGCTTTAGGTCAGGGTACTGGCATAGGTGTGTACAATGAGTTTCTCACAGTTTTGACACTTCTTCCTTTCTCAACCCATTTTCGGTTTCCTGTTATCAACTGCTGCCTTCTAGGCACCATCTCAGCTAACCACAAACTAAACCATAATTTTTTTCTGTACCATACTGTAAGGTTTAACAGTGGAGTGCATTTCATAATCTGACAACTTTATTTGGTGTGCTGGACCTTTTTCAACACAAGACCACGTAGACCTAGAGAAAAAGCTTTTTCAGCATTTCCCTGAGCCTTGTTTTGACATCAGCCATTCTGATGTTAAACTCTGTGCACATGACAACCAAACATTCAATACAGTTATGGAGAGAGACCATGCAGCCTGCCTCCATCCATAGATTGATGACACTAACGATGGTGAAATATCACTTCTCTGGCAACATTATATGATTAATAAAACCATCACATTCTGTTTTTAAACGTTGACTGCAACCGTCAACATAGAACAGACTAGAGCTATTAAAACAGACTATGGATATTAAAAACAATGTATTTAAACAGGTGCGTCTGCTCAGGTATACCAATACAGTCATATGCAAAACAATCTTATAATTCGGGGGTTGGATGCAAATACAGTAGCCTACGAAGGAGACATCATTTTCACTAAAGGACTGAATAATATGCAAAATATCAGAGCATGGCTTATTTCAAATAGGCCTACCTTAAATACGTCTCCGTATGTACCACTACCGATTCGTTGAATCATCTCGTAGTCCTCCAACGGGTTCGAGTAGGAAACACCAATTGCATCCATCGCAGCACTGTATGTCTCGACTAGTGCTTTCTAGCCACTAATTATATGATTCCTATCCAGATGTCTGCACTTCCTCTGCAACAAACCATCAGAAGCAAAAGCTGAAATAAAAATGGCAGCTATACAGCCTTGTGATGCTCAGAGAACGGCAGCCTACCAGTGCCATGACATTTTTGTAAATAATAAGGCATTGTTGTTGCTGCTGAATGAAGAACAGAATCTGCATTCTGGGGTTTTCAGTGACACAAAGCCCTATCAAAAAATAGTAATTGGTCACCATTTCGGTTATTGTTTTGTTTATATTATATTTTTTCTTTCTATTTCAGAAAAACATATTTGTAATAATAGTCGTCGTCGTCCCCCCCTCTCTCTCTCACTCACTCACTCACTCACTCACTCACTCACTCTCACTCTCACTCACTCTCACTCTCACTCACTCTCACTCACTCACTCTCACTCCTACTCTCACTATCACTCTCTCTCACACACACAAGGGGGTAGGTAGTAAACCCTGGGGATATATACTTGGGAGAGACCATTGGGTTCTTGAGGTGCTTGATGAGGTGATTGATTGATTGGTTGATTGACTGGGTGATTAGTAAGGTTATTTAATGGATATAGAAAAACTAACTCAGGAATTTTTAAAAATATATATTTATAAGTAGCATAAGTAAGCCATTGTATAAATATGCGGTATAAGGTAATGATATAATGATACTGACTAGAACATTTTGAGACCACACCTTTATTGCCAAGCCCCCCTTCGTGGTGAAGGCACGTCTCAAGTTGTGCTCCGAAACAATTTTCAAGGCGTCAAACGGGCTCGAGGAATCAATTTAGCATCAGTCATCTATTAAAAATTCGAGAGAATTTTGAAAGGAACATATTAGCTAGCTACGCACTTCGAATTTACTACGTTTATTTTGGTTGTCTGTTAGAAATTATCACAGAAATGGCAGATCCGACGACACAGTCTGCCCAGATCTTGTCCTCTCTGAACGCTTCATCGACAAAAGAATCCACATATTCCGGTAGGAAATCATTCAAATAAAAAAACAAAGTTAATAGCTCAAGTTCAGCTACCCTCGTATGCAATGCATGTTCGAACAATTGATGTATGTACGATGGCGTGCGGGGTTTACGTGTGTGAATGCTAACGGTGCCTCTGACAGTTAGCAATTTCATCACAGGTTGAACAGGACACACGTTGGCTACCTAGAATAGAAGACACCAATAACTAACGTTACAGTCCCTCTATTTTGGTTAGCAGTGTTGCGAAAAGCCCATACCATAAAGCAATTGTATGGACCATTTGGTAGCTAACATTAGCTAAGTTAGGCCGAAGACCAGAGAAAGCCTTTTGTATTTTGATTAGCGCGGTAGCCCACAATAGGTCGTTTGTTCACCCAGTTGATATTTGACCAATGTTATGTAGCTAAGGTATTATCACAGAGTTTCTAAACTGTACTGTCTTTGGTATTGTACTTCCAATATGTTGCAAGCCAGCTAACTAACGTTACCTAATACAATACTGAAGCTAACGCTGCAATCGTATCCAAATCAACATAGCAGTAATTAAGACTACTGTACTGTCTGTATACATGATTCATACTCCTACAGATACTGTACATGAGAGCTCATGGTCAATGCTATCCGGTAACCTTGGGACGTTCCTTGGGACCTTGGGACGTTCCTAAGTCCTAACCTTAACCCTTACCTTACCCATTTAAAATGTCAACTTCAATGGGGTGGGGACATCCCAAGGATTCCAGATAACACAGACCGAGAGCACATGGCCCTATTCGGATGCTTTTAAAAATGGTTCTAATCACCCTGACAAGGATTGGAACGATGAAGGCATTGTTACCATCCTTTTGCTTTCATTAATCAACCCAACCTTGTCAGCTCAGTGGTTTCGTCAAGGAAACGTAGGTGGTGAGGCAAAAAAATAGATTTTTGTTGTGTGTGTATATACACAGTAAAACATTCTTATGACTAACATGTTGTTGGCACCTTTAATTCTTGCACATTTTCTCATAAGTATATTTCAACACTGTATACTCTAGGCAAATTTGCTGAACTGCTAAACTTGGAACTAATCAGAACTCCTGTACATGCTCCTCTTGATGGTGGCCAATGTCCTGCTTCTATCTAAATGTAAACACGACCTCAAGTAAAACCCGAGCTGCTGTCTGTGTGTGATGAAGACTGAAATAAGATAAATATCTGTTTTCGAGAGCACCTGAAATATGCAGCATGCAATGCGAATTGTCTTGATATTATGAAAAGGTAACTCCGTTGACCACTTAGCCAATTTTATTGAAAGCTAGCCAATGTTACAGGGGAGAGGCTATATGGACATGCCTGGTGCCCAAATGGATGGCGTATGTCGTGCAGCTGAGCGTCGTGTGGAGACCAGTGGATTCGGTTCAGTCAGTCGTGCTGATCAGCCTTTCCCAGCTAGAAATGATGGCTACTAGCAGCAGCATGGCACTATTTTAAACTTGTAAAAGTTAGTGATGTTTATTTTGATGGGCGAGGTAGTAATAACTTGTAGTATTGGTCACCATCTCCAATTTGTTCAATCCCACTTGATTTTATTTTGAGTAGGATAGCAGCCTTCACGAGAAATAACTGTAATATTGGTAGTAACCATCCGGATGTCACCGTGATACAGTCCACTGCTCAATGGGGAGAGTTTGCGCTGCAAGCCAGCAACACAATATTGGGCACAGTGTCCTTTGCTCCCGCAGTAAGAAGAGGGAACGTTAGCTAGATGGTGATGGTGTAGCCAATATCAGGCCAGGGTGACAGCTAAAGCACATTTATTGTAGTGATTTTTACCTAAAATGTACAACTACGGCATTAACGTCTAGCGTTAAATTTTTTTGTAAAATAACAATTACTCCTATAATAACTGAATGATTCTGTACATTCCAAACTTCGGCAGACTAGTTTCAAATTCACGCTGAAGTTTGTAGCCACAAGCTTAACTAACTAGCTGGGAAGGGCTCGTCAGGACGACTGACTGAACTGAACCGAATTCGTTTTTCTCCACTCCGCTCTTGCTGCGCGACAAACGTCATCAATTTGGGCACAAACGTCCATAGTCTCTCCCATGTTAGTTTGACTAGCCTAGCCAACTATAGTAAATGTCAATTTGGCTGCTAAGGAAGCTAAAAACAGCTGCGCAAAATGTACACCTTGTGCTCTAGAATAAGATGGCCATAGTTTGATTTCCACTAACTATGACTGCGAGTGAGGCGCGCTTTCCATAATGTATGTTTCATGCATATACATTTGAACAAACATCACATTTAGTGTTTCACCATTTATTGAGTATGGAGACAAATGGCAAATGTGTTGCGCAGTATTTGAAGGATAGTGTAAATATAGGTAGGTTACACTAAATATAGTGTAACCTACCAATCAATGTAAATAGAGAGAGAAGTGCTGTGTAGTGCCAATGTAGAGAAAGAAGTGCCTTAGTGGAATCCATTAAAATCGTTTGGTCCAGAGACGACAACTCTTCCATCTATGGCAAAAGCCTGGGCTCCTGACGGGGACAATATAATTCTCATCACATTGAGACCCCATATGCATTTGCTTGTTGTCTTGTCTTTGTGGGTTTTGTTTTACAGTCTACACAGTCTAGTTAGTGCATTTTAGAGTTGAAGAACACCAACTACAGATATACACATGCTTGTTAGAGCATCTCGAAGACAACTGCATGTTACAATTGTAAAACATAATCCGTTTTTAACCTCTTCAAACCGATTCTATATTGAATTTAGGCTAATATTGACGGCAGGGCTAATTCAAACTGCAGTAGGATGGTTCTCCTCACAGGTGAGTGAATCAGCTGAGCCCATGCTTGGTGACTAGCACTTGGTTGATGTCTGGGAGCAGGACACCTGAGAGGAGAGCTGAATAGATCTTGGGAGACAAGTGAGAGACAATAATTAATCAAAGAAATCATCATAGCAAAGGATGGTAGTTTATGAGCTAGAAATGAACGTCCTGACAGTCTAAAAAAAAACTACAACAACCAGGCTACTAGAATCAGGATAGAGGCAGGGTGCTCTGCATCTTACTGCAACTAGGCCTATTGACAGGGATAATGTGGCATTTCTTATTTGTCAGTATGAATGAAATTAGTGAGTCCTGCCTTGACTGTATTAGCTTTACAATACTTGTCCTATAGATGTTTGTAGTCTTAAATTATTACTTGGAATAATGATAGCTAAAGGTCCCTGTCCTGGATTGACATTGGAGTAGTGAAAAAGCTATTTGCTTTTGCTAGCTAGCAACAGGTCTACATGTTGAAGCTAGCTAGCTACATTTATAAGGTTGCTGTGTTCTAAGTAAAGTTGGGAGGTATTTTACAGATTGCATTGATGGTATCACGCTTCTATAACTAAATAGATCACAAATATAAAATACTTTACCTAATAGTAGTTTGTCGTACGGAGATCGCTCTCGAGCTGTGTTATGTACCTTAGGTACGGTGAATGTGATTGGCAGACGTGATCAGCAAAGATGGTACCTGGATAGTACACAAGTTTTGATTGGTTTACTGTTTAGTACTTGGCAGTGTTTGCCTGTCCAGCCAGCTAGCGAACATAAAAGTAAGTATTTCAATTTTTTTGGCAAGAATTGACATTGTCAACGAAACTGAAATCTGTTGAATAAATAAATATTGGGTAAGTGTACCTATTAAGCCCACTTCCATCTTTAAATTCAAATAAAACAATTAAAAGTTTCTGCTGTTTTAATACGTTTCTATTCTAAGCCGAACAGATGTTTTATTATTAAGTTGACAGTTGTGTAAATTCCCACTAGTAGCCAATTTCAACGCTGCAAAAAAACGGTGTTGAGGCGACCCTCAAACACATTTTCCAGATGTTCTTTGTTCCTTCTCAGATAAGTGATCATACTTTATGTAAAATTAAGAGATTCATGTACTGATCTATGCACATGGCATATTTCATTGGCATTAATTAATTTTTCTTGCCAATTGAAAAGATGGGGTTTTCATGCTAGGAGTCATTCCCGCATGTCACAGTAGCAACATAACTTTAACTACAACAATATAGATTTCAGGCATTCAGAACATGCATTTTGTCTTATTTTACAGTTAAATGAACCTGGCGTTGTTATACCTAGATTACATTTTTGTAAACTTGACATTTTTCTCCAGTGGGCTTAAAGGATACAGTAGCACAAAAAGCACTTCCACCTATACAGAATGGAAATGCATATTGTTCAATATGATCAATATTAACTTTGTATAATATTGTAGTCTTTAGTGTATATTTATGCCCCCAAACCATTGGTTGCCTAATATTTTATGAGTAGACTTGGCTGTTCTGTCGTTTTCACCTTAAATCATGGTTCGAATTTAAGCCCAGTATGCTCTTGTTAAGCCCGGTTTGCTTTGAAACATGGGGGTAGTGTGATATCCCTAATATTCAATGATCATGAGCATAAATTGTTTGGTTTTTTTTACTTCAAAGGGCTCCTTTAGTGTTACGAACCCCGTGGCTTTAAAAGTCTAGGGTGGATGGAAAAGAGACCCGTAACATAACTCATGCAAATTAGAATAGTGACACAGAAACAGTGAGAACAAAAATACACCGACAACCATAAGCTACCGTCAAACACAAAATGTTTATTATGAACACACGGTAAAGGTTTGGGAAAAAGGGCTGAGCAGGACCCAAGGAATGAAACAATAATGTCAAAACCCCCTAAACTGATCTTGCCTGCCTCAAGAACCGTTAAGCTACTGCTAACCATACACAAATACAGTGGGTGGTGCGCTCAGGTCTAACTAGTGTTTTTAGACAATGTTCTTTCTACGGGTAATGTATGCCCAAGGGCACCTTGCTAAATCCCCCTTTTCCCAGGAACACAACATAGTTACCATATAGAGTAACCAGCAAATTAGTGAGTACACAAAAAACAGGACACCACAGTATCCATACTCACAAACGAAAAGTCTCTGTCAGCAAACACAACTGACTGGCTTTTAAAACAATAGGATGTGTGATGTTAGTGAAAAACCAGAAACAGGTGGTGCAATGCAGAGGAATGTATACTGATTGGTCCACCTCAGCAATCAGCAGACAAATGGATGTTGGACAGGTGGGACACCCCAACGACCACCAATCAGGAACACAAAGGACACCTGTGATTAGGGCAGAAGGAGAGGAAAAACACATACAGGATACCTGTATCCGTAACAGCTAGGTTACGTGCATGTTCATCCACCTGCAACCTATTTCCAGCCTCCAAACAGTGGTGAATGGAAGGAGACATCTGTTAAACAACACCAAAAAGTGTAATGACCTTTAGCGATTGTCATTAGGCCAGAATCTACGCATCCACTGCTGTCTCTGTGTCGGCCACTCATCTCTGCCTTGGCAAAATGTCAGTGTTCTCGTGGAACCACATCGCATTTTGGAGCGTAGGTTATACCAACCGTTTTTCAAATCCATTCGCAAATCTTTCATGCCTCTGACATGCGGTAATAATAAATAGTGGTGTAATCAACATTTTGTTTGAATTATTGTGAGAGGCTCGGGTTTTACCCGGTACCTGCGTACCCCCACTATTTATTTTACATTCACCCCTGCAGTAAAGTCATACCGTATAAAACACCGTTTTGGTCCAATTTGATAAATGCAGATAGAATTTGTTTGTTCGGCATGGTATCTTTTTGTGTCTATAAAATGTAATTATACGAGATCTGGTCGGTGGAAATGCTTTTATGCGCAAATATTGATATAATAACCATCATATCGAAGTAAACTTGGAGTCATGCGACGATATGGTGTGTGGTCTTACATTTTTAGTCATTTAGCAGACGCTCTTCTCCAGAGCTACTTACAGTTAGTGAGAGCATACATTTTTCATACTGACCCCCCCCGTGGGAATCGAACCCACAACCCTGGCGTTGCAAGCGCCATGCTCTACCAACTGAGCTACAGGAGGGCCCACTACAACTCGGGGAAACATGCAGTTTATTAGGCTACAGATGAAATAAGTTATGAACTTCACAGGGTGGTGAAAGTTCACAGTGATGAACTTGATGCTTCTTTCCAATAATATTGAGGGTCTTATTCTGGTGACATGATGATCGATGCTTAACTGCCGTTTGACAAATAAAAATATTCTCGCTCTTATCCTTAAATCTCATCATGTAGACTAGCCTACCCGCACTGTATCTGCGAGCTGTTGGCTAAAGTACATGTGCCAAGACCAGAGTAGGCACATTTGCTATTTAATGCAACCATTTTTTGTGACGACTAACGGTAGAGTTGAACATTTGATGGAAACACATTGAACTTTTGAATTTTATTCGGTATATGGAAATTTAAGCGAAAAAGTACATTGTGTGCACTGCGTCATCACGCACTGGTTTTTATCCACAACAAGTCCATTTGGTGGAAACGCCAATGGTGGGAAAATGTGCATATTTTCTTAATGCATATTTTCGAATATAAGCATGAAAATCTGTCGCCAATTGGATGGAAACCTAGCTATTGATGTAGCCTAGTGCTTCCTGAACTGGAATGAAGTTAACAGGTGAGGGGCCATTTGAGTCAAAGCAGGTGTTTTTGGCACCATTCCTAATTAACAACTTGACACTAGACTACAAAAACCCTGGTCTGCAGCCCATTGGGACAGGGTGAACAACTCCTGAATTAGGGCAGCTATCAATGAAATGAAGGTCCCCACTGAATTTGACTAGATATGAGACTGATTACCAATTTTTCAGGATAATGATAACCAGTTGTCTCCAGATGCGGTCACCCGCATCTGGAGGCTTAAGCAACTATTTTTCAGTGATTTGTGGACTGCTGAAATTGAGAATTAGACCAACCTGATATGACCAAATAATGGGCCACTGTCAATTGTTCCAGTCTCTCAAGGAGAAAAGGAGTTGCACATGACTTCCATGATTTTTAACCCTGAGAAAATGATTTTAGATGATTTGGCTGCGTCTGAGGCCTGTGTGTTGTAACATGGATAATCCTCACAGCCATGACTCGTTTAACTAGAATGAACTGCATGTTGACCAACTGGGATTGCATGTTGGCAAAGTTGCATCGTCATGGTCATACCTGAGGTCATATGGGGGAAATTGGAAACTTTATGCTCGCAGGTTTCTCTCATCAAAACTTCCCTTCAGTATTAGGATTTATAAATGAGATCTGTGATCATCCGACGGTCAGGTTTGGCTTGAGAATGAATTCTGTTTCCCTCTCTTCCCTGCTCCTTCCTGTTTGTCCCTTGTCCCTCGTCCAGTGATGGAGCTGGTGTACTGGCGGGACCCAAAGAAGTCTGCGGTGGCCTTTGGCATGTCCCTGCTGGTCCTTCTGTCCCTGGCCACCTTCAGTGTCATCAGTGTGTTGTCCTACCTGCTGCTGGCCCTGCTTTGTGTCACAATCACCTTCCGCGTCTACAAGTCTGTCATTCAGGCAGTGCAGAAGTCTGAAGAGGGCCACCCCTTCAAGTACGACTGCTCAGCTTGGGATATGATGGAACATGGGAGAACAAGGATTATATAATTAGAACTATGTCTGCTCGTATTGAACTTGACCCCATGGAGTCATTGTCTGATTTGATTGTTAGGTGATGACTGTGATGCTTTGTCTCCCTCAGGTGTGTGATGGAGCAGGACCTGACCGTTCAGCCTGAGACTTTCCGTAAATATGTGGATGTGTGTCTGACCTACGTGAACCGAGCCATTAAACAGGCCAGACACCTGCTGCTGGTGGAGGACCTGGTAGACTCACTCAAGGTAGTGTTCACCGGGCTATAGGCTACTGCAATCTTGGAGATTTCCAATGCTGTGGTCTTTAATTGGCTCTAAGTGATTAATTCTAAAAGTGCTTGTGTAGAATTTTCTTTCATGCATGTATAGCAAGGGGAGTAGTTTTGTGAGTCTCACTCTAGCTCCATCTGCTGGGCTGAATGAGAATGCTCTTAGGACAAAATGAGGGTTTATGTTGACTGGATGGAAAATTGGCTCAAAAGGTGCTTAGAATTGTAAAAAAAATATATATATATATATATATATGACCAGTGAAAAGTTTGGACACCTACTCATTCAATGGTTTTTCTTGATTTTTAACTATTTTCTACATTGTAGAATAATAGTGAAGACATCAAAACTATGGAATAACACAGATGAAATCATGTAGTAACCAAAAAAGTGTTAAACAAATCAAAATATACATTTGAGATTATTCAAAGTAGCCACCCTTTGCCTTGATGACAGCTTTGCACACTCTTGGCATTCTCGCAACCAGCTTCACCTGGAATGCTTTTCCAACAGTCTTGAAGGAGTTCCCACATATGCTGAGCACTTGTTGGCTGCTTTTCCTTCACTCTGCGGTCCAACTCATCCCAAACCATCTCAACTGGGTTGAGGTCGGGTGATTGTGGAGGCCAGGTCATCTGATGCAGCACTCCATCACTCTCCTTCTTGGTCAAATAGACGTTACACAGCCTGGAGGTGTGTTGGGTCATTGTCCTGTTGAAAAACAAATTATAGTCCCACTATGCGCAAACCAGATGGGATGGCGTATCACTGCAGAATGCTGTGGTAGCCATGCTGGTTAAGTGTGCCTTGAATTCTAAATAAATCACTGACAGTGTCACCAGCAAAGCACCATCACACCACCTCCTCCATGCTTCATGGTGGGAACCACACATGCGGAGATCATCCATTCACCTACTCTGCGTCTCACAAAGACACAGTGGTTGGAACCAAAAATCTCTGACGCATTTATTTGTGCTGCAATTTCTGAGGCGGTTAACTCTAATGAATTTATCCTCTGCAGCAGAGGTAACTCTGGGTCTTCCTTTCCTGTGGCGGTCCTCATGAGAGCCAGTTTCATCATATTGCTTGATGTTTTTTGCGACTGCACTTGAAGAAACTTTAAAAGTTATTGACATTTTCCAGATTGACTGACCTTCATGTTATAAAGTAATGATGGACTGTCGTTTCTCTTTGCTTATTTGAGCTGTTCTTGCCATAATATGGACTTGGTCTTTTACCAAATAGGGCTGTCTTCTGTATGCCACCCCTACCTTGTCACAACACAACTGATTGGCTCAAACACATTAAGAAACGCATTAAGAAATTCCACAAATTAACTTTTAACAAGGCACACCTGTTAATTGAAATACATTCCAGATGACTACCTCAAGAAGCTGGTTGAGAGAATGCCAAGCGTGTGCAAAGCTGTCATCAAGGCAGAAGGTGGCTACTTTGAAGAATCTCAAATATAAAATATATTTTGATTCGTTTAACACTTTTTTTGGTTACTACATGATTCCAGGTGTGTTATTTCATAGTTTTGATGTCTTCACTATTATTCTACAATGTAGAAAATAGTAAAAATAAAGAACTCTGGAATGAGTAGGTGTGTCCAAACTTTTGACTGGTACTGTACATGTTTTAAATATTTGGCACACCTTAAGAGCTGTTGGTCTATATAAACTGTGGTCAGTTGTTGTTGTCTTTGGAGATATTTTTTCACAACACTGAAGTCCGCTCTATTATATATTGTAACGCCTGACTAAGAAAGACTGAAAAGCTGTCATGTGGTGGCAGAGAAAGAAATGCCTGGCAGATATTCAAATGAGGGATTAAGGAAGGAGTGGATTACACAGCTGAAGGCGGCCAGTGCATGTAAGTTCCTATAGAGGCCAAACATTGTGGGACACTCATTATATCAAACACAGTCAATGTTTGAATAAGTAGATAACAATTTGGGTGATAATTAAATGGATCTATAAAATGGCCAAGGAAAATGCAGTCCTTGTTATACCATTTATGGTTTTCTGAAATGTGCTGGTCCCTCTGTTGCAGCTGGCTGGTTTCATGTGGCTGATGACCTATGTGGGAGCTGTCTTCAATGGAATCACCATCCTTATACTGGGTAAGACTCACCAAACACTGTCCAATAACAGTTCTGCACCCAGTCATGTAGACACTTTTATATTCGAATTATAATAATGCGCATCTGTTTTTTTACCATCCTCTAGGAACCTAGATTTTTCTCATTACACGTCATGCTTTTAATAACTATTGGGGCTGTGTAGTTTGTTTTGTTTGTCCTATGTCAGTGATGGGCAACTGGCACAAACGTTTTTTTACTCAGTTGGTGTCTCAACTTACTGTTGCAAGTTAGAATAGTAGAATACACAAGATGCAAATGTGGTTGTGCATCAACGGGTTTTCTCTTATGTCAGTTACTGATAGTCACTCAATTATCCCGTTGTCAGCTAAACAATTTTAGATTGGTAAATTATTCTAGCGGCCAACTATCTAAACTTTTTATCATGGTCAAATTACCGGCCGGGGGCCGCCATTTGATTTTGCTTGTCAGTCTCACTCAGATATCATATTAAAAACTACTAACATTTGTCTCCACCATATGGCAAAATGTGTAGAATTGCAGGAAATTAGTTCTAAAATTGCTAAATCTTCTGTCTGCCCCATTGCAAAATATGTAGAATTGCAGCAAACTTGCTTTAAAACGGAAACGTTTTCTCTACGCCCCATGGCAAAATGTGTAGAATTGCACGACGTTAACTCTAAAACATTTCTCTCCGCTGTCAAGGGGGGGCTCCTAAAATGTTTTGCTCGCAATGTGGTGGTGGGGGGTATGCACACAACTGTGGCCCCTCACAATGAGTTCAGATTTTTTTGGGCCCCCCATCAAAGTTGCCCATCCCTGGTCTATGTTCTTGTATTGTACAGATCTGCACTTATGCCTACAGAATTGCTCCTTGTGGGGAAAAATGAAGTATTTTGAATTGAAACAATCAGACTTACATTTAGTCTAAAGAGGGGTGGGGAGGGGACATGGTCTGAATGATCTATAGTAGACATAGTTTAAATTGCCTTGAGAGATCCTGTACAATAGTACTGTAACAAATTGCTTTTTAAACGGGTCCATAGTATTCAATGAATACTGTAGCTTTGTTTAAATAGCATGGGACACCTCTAACATGCTATCTGGAAACCTCCATAGAAACAAACTTACTTAACCGGAGTCCACTCTGTTTCTCATTGACAGCTGATGTCATCTTCTTCAGCATGCCTCTGGTTTATGACAAAAATAAGGTAAGTGTGAATGAAAGCATTTGTTTTTACTTGGCATACAATTACTAATGTTTGTTATGAACCTGTGTGCTTGTTGGTTAACAATTTTGTTCTCTTTCAGACACAGATTGATAAATACATGGAACTGATTCGCACCAGAGTTGAAGTCACACTTGCAAAGTAAGGGCACCTCTTTTTTTTCTAACCATCAATATGTAGATGAGGTGAAATCATAGAACACCATGTTCTGGTTTTTGGCAATAGAAGTAGACATTTCAGTGTCATGGCATGCAGGAACACACAGCATCATTAACTTCGTCATGACCAGTCTTGGTTGAACCATCCTAAAGGATTTGTCTTCCCAAATGCAATGTGACCTCTAATTTAGCAGTATATAGATGTGAGAAGTACAGTATGATTATTTCCCCTTTTCAGGCTTCAAGATAAACTTCCTGGGGCAGTGAAACGCACCAAAGCAGAGTGATTGTCCATGACCCCTATTCAACAACCATTCTCTCCCTTATACTGGAAGCAGTCCTACCCTTTCAAATGCATTCCCAGTGTCAAACCTGTGGCCAAGTCATCGCTCAATATTCAATGTACCATAACTAACTTGCATAGGGTGCAATGCTTGTATTTGTTGTTGGAGCCAGCCACATTCTGAATAACTCAATCTGCAGTTGCTACATCCATTGTTGGATTTAGAAATTAATGATATGTACCCATTAATTCTTGAAGAATATAACGTATAAATGCCTCATGTGCTTAGTTCAACTGTCGGACCCCATCAGAACCCAAAATATAAACTTGTTTTACTCCAATGTTTGTAAACCAAGTAAATAGAAACAAACACTATATAGCCTCAAAACATGGTTAAAACTATAATTTTGATATCATGGATGGTCAGTCCTTGCATCCATAACTCTGTCTATGAATTTGACAGTGGTTACATTTCTCCAACCCTTTCCCTCATCTTTTTAACGAAACAGGGAAAACACTTTGTTTCAACTGCTGATTTGGGGCTTTAACAGATGATTCCTGATTGAACCGGGGTTTAAATGAGGATAACTTTTAATTATTTCAAGGATACATAATGTTGTGTAGCATTTTTGAAACGCAAATGTTTGTACACTAATCATGCTGGTTTGTGTTTTGAGGGAAAAGTCATTTGTTTATGTAGTTTGTAAATTGTCACAAAATACAGATTTTTGTCTTCTTTTTTTAATGAAAGAATTCAAAGCTGAGATCTGCATTAGGTGGAACTGCGCCCGAGGCGCAGTTATTGTTTTTGAAACTGGGCAGAGGAGCATTCTGCATCGTGGTAAAAAAAAAAAAAAAACATAGTACATACTCTGCTGTTCTATCATGCGTGCAATGATGTCTGATGTGGAATAAACGATGTTCATTGTTTGAAGTAATGTCTTTGTTTGGAGGGGGCGCACTCAACCTTTTCAGCATAATCTCAGTTCATCCTAAAGACAGTTGTTTGCTATCTGCACTGAGTATTCTGCTTGTGAGTATTTTGTAAGCAAGTCATCAAACCTGAAATAAAAATTCAGTAAACCATCGCAACAAGCTGTCACGACTCATTTATCCTGTTTTGTCAGTTTGTGTATGAGCTGGGAAAACCAACAGAATTGGAGTAAAGGATCACACACGTTCCAATGTGGATGCAATAGGAGGATTAGATAAGAATGTTGATTGTATAAGTAGGCTACGTATTCGCCTCCGATTCTTGAATTAAAAATCCCAAATCATTTTTCCATGACACTCTGGCACCTCAACCCTGAGAAAATGGGTGTAAGGATTATGTCGATGGCACTACATAGCCTTCCACTAATTAACACGGAGGATATAGTGCCATATGGCTTACACCTACTGTATCAAGATCTTTCAGTTGAGTGTACATTAAAGTAGTAATGTTAGGCGCTAGGGGAAAGTAACTAGTATGGAATGTACTGTTCCTCCACGCCAACGAATAGACTTTTGGGTTCATGACCACCTACTGTCAAGTTAATGTGCTCATGTCACAGAGAATGTAATGTGTGTCTGGCACTGAGTGTAATATTGTAAACCATGACATCTAGTTTGCGGCACAAGGGAAGGAAACGTATAACCAGGAAGTGACTCATTAGCCAAGTCACATTTCTGTTGATGTTGTAATGAATGAGTTCTGCTGGGACGTGCTGTTAATCTCCCATCCCGTGTAATGTTCATACCTAACTATCCGTCATTTGTGGGGGGAACAGGGGGGAAAATGACATGAGCTATTTTAGTTATGTAGTTAGGCTACAGTTCTCTATTCTGAACAGTAGATGGAAGCAATGAGGTGAAATAAGCAACAATTTTGAGTCGAGTGAATGACTGACTGAAATTGCTTGGAGCCACAAATAGATGAGATGTGGTTGGTACTTCCAATCTAGAAGTCATCCCATAAGAGTTAATAGTTTGATTTAATATAATATGCCATTTAGCAGAGACTTTTATCCAAAGAGACTTTCAGTGATGCGCGCATACATATAATGATGAAAGGTCCCCCCCTGGTGGCGGAGGGAAAATGTTGCTGTTTTAAAATTAATTTCATGCAATTCTGCATATTTTGCCATGGTTTATGCCAGGTTCTTTACATAAGAAAAATCAGTGGGGCCCCTGGGCATGTGACTGATTGGGTAATCTGGCCCTGGATGATGAGAGGGTCAATCAGTGATGAAGATGACAATGGTGGAGATTATGTCACTATCATATAATTGGCCAATAGATTTTACGAGAGAGGGAGGGATCCGGACGTCGCTATAGGCCACAGAGTAAAATGTCTACTTATGTTGTCAATGATTCCTCAACCCAGTGAGCTTTTAACGGTCACATGACCCCTGTTGTGAATATTTGATTGGCCAGTTAATGCAACAAAAAATAAATGTTCTTAATAATTTGGTGGGTGCTTATATTTGTCCTATTGCACGCATGATAATACACGTGTGAATTGGAGATGTATTTTTTGCATATCCCAACTCTCCCGGAGAAACACTTGGAGAGTGAGATCATGGCCAGGGTCTGCCATTATCAACGGCGACCCTGGAGCAATTAGGGTTGAGTACCTTGCTCAAGGGCGTCCCTTGTTAATGTGCACTCCGGTGCCACTTTATAGCCGTCTATGTACACAAGCAGTGAGTCCATAGCATGGGTCGGCGCCCTTGGATATCTCAAAGGAAGATACAGTATATGATGCCTGTGTGTGTACATTCTAAAACCTTTCCATTAACTCTAGACTGTGCCTGAATCTGAGGAATCCTTAGGCTTAATGTTACACCAATGTTTCTGACTTGTTGCTAAAGCAATAGGCTAATTTGACACTTAACATGCTAAATAATGCCTTTGAGTGGCATAGATGGATTATTATGTCAATGAGTTTCTCTCTGAGCCCTTGCATGTCATTACAAGCCCTTGCTGTGAAATTCCATTTTAAAGGCTTTGTTTTTGTGGGGCTTTTTTGCTTTGCTTTTGTGTAACCCGATTAAACATGGCATTCATTAGTTTTGAAGGAGAGTCTAGATTAGAACTCCAATATGGGGATAATAATATTATTCAACAACACCGTTATTATTCACTTCTATGTCACTGTGTTTGTAAAGGCCTATAGGCTATTTGGCACACATGCAAATTCACAGAACCTCAAGCAGACACGTTCCCTCAAGGAATACAACTGACCTCGATCTTTTGTCTAACAAACATTAACACCTTAGTTAAGGATTGTGATGTTCCCGTAGTGTTGTAAAGCGTGTGCAGGTGCAGCAGGTGAAACTTCAGAGAGGTATAACATTAACTACTGCGCTCAGCAGCGGATTTGGAGCCGGTGGCCACCACATCACAACCACTTGGCCCGTTGGAGTTGTCCTAGGACAATAACGGTACTCAATAACTTTTTTGTATTACTTTGCAAGCCTTGTTCTTAGACTTTGCTACAGCAGTTTAAAGGCTACTGACACAAGCCTACTGTTCCTCTCCGAATCGCCGATATGGGTTTTGCGGACCTCTTGAATGACGTTGGCGGGTTCGGACGTTTCCAATGGATCCATGTTACCATGTTGTCTATTCCTGGTCTACTGATGGCAAGCCAGAATCTGTTGAATAATTTCACAGCTGGTATGCCTGGACATCACTGTACCATACCCAATAGGACTTCTATTGCCAGTAATCAAAACATTTCTCTATCAGAAGTGGATGACAGACAGCTCCTTCACGCCTTTATCCCGATGGATGCCAGTGGGACCAAATTGTCCAAGTGTACGAGGTATGTCGAGGCGCAGTGGCATCTTCTTGAAAGCAATGTAAGCGTCATTGGACGTCAGGCTAACTTCACAGAGCCTGAGACAGAGCTATGTCTGGATGGCTGGACCTATGACAAAACAGAATTTCTGTCCACAGTTGTATCAGAGGTAAGTGGAGGTGTCCATGCGCATTATTAAAGTACTGTGCCATAAATTAATATGTGTCATAATATAAAATTATAAAAGTGCGTGTGCATCCCTTGCAAAATACTTCATGATGCATGGTTTATGAATAAAGTTGTATATTATGATTATCATTCAATAGGTTTAATAATCATACATTTTTACAGTACCTGCGCCATAAATTATAGCTGTACTATAAAAGTACATGTGCATTCCCTGCAAAATACTTCATGATGCATGATTTATGAATAAACTTGTATATTATTATTATTATTATTATCATTTAATAGGCCTAATAATTCACTAACAGTGGCCTTTATGACATTGCTGAAAGTCAAGGCAAAGAATGGGATATTAAAATCCTGCCTATAAGAAAAGGCTTGTGATCTTGTTTTCCAGTGGGACTTGGTCTGTACCCTTCGTCCTATGAAACAGATGAGCCAGACTATTTATATGGGTGGGGTCCTGGCAGGGGCCATCATATTTGGAGGGCTGTCAGACAGGTGAGCAGCGTCCTGTCACAGACATGGAATAATACCTTATAGCATCATTGTGTTCAACATTTTCATCACGGCAAAGGAATTCAACAATTCAGTCATCATATTGTCCTATAAAACATTACGTTATCGTTGTAGAGGTTGTACAGTGGAACTGCATTTACCCGATGAAGGATTGTTGTCAATGTGATACAAATGGATGCAGGTGTACATTATGAATAGGTAACCTACAGCTAAATCAGTAGTGTAAATAGAAGTCTGACATTACTAATTAAGATGTCGTCTACTGTATCCATTGTCAGGATATCATCGACTCTTTAACAGAAAAAAAATAAAAAGAACGTTGCCTTGAACCCTGATCTTGTTTGTGCTTGGACAGAGTAGAGCCCAGTTGGTTGAAAGTACAGGATTAACATTCTCCACCTATCAGACTTTTATTTTATTTGTTTTTACACAATTAGAACTTTTAGTAATTTCACAGAAATGTGTGTGTGTGTGTGCGCGTACATGAATGTGTGTCCATGTAATTTACTTCACAGTAGGGAACATTCCCTCCTTCCCTCCTCAATTATTTGGTAGGGCTTGTATTTGGTGCTTAGTTGCCACCAACAACAACAATGCATTGTGTTCTTGTGATTTTTGAGCAAGTGTTGCTGTGGTTTCCCCTATTTGTTTTCCCCTCTAGATTTGGGCGAAAGTCCCTGTTGATCTGGTCCTATTTTCAGCTAGCCACGCTGGGCACCTGTACAGCCTTCTCACCCTCCTTCATGACCTACTGTATCTTCCGCTTCATGACAGGCATGGCAGTATCTGGGGTGATCCTCAACACAGTCTCTCTCAGTGAGTCTCCATACAACCCCACCTATAGCCCATACATCTAGAGACTTACATTTGAGTCATTTAGCAGACGCTCTTATCCAGAGCAACTTACAGGAGCAATTAGGGTTAAGTGCCTTGCTCAAGGGCACATCGGCAGATTTTTCACCATTCAAACCAGCGACCTTTCGGTTACTGGCCTAACGCTCTTAACCACTTGGCTACCTGCTGCTTAGATCCTCTACTCGTTTTTTGTGTGATATGTGAAAGTTGGCACACTGTCAGGTCATTAGGTTTGCAGCATAAGGAAATTGTTACTGTCTTTTAAGTCTTTCAAGGGGGAAATTGATTACCTGTTGCCAGAGGTGGGTCCGGGAATGAAAACCTGGGGGAATCCGGATCTGGGAGGGAAATCATTTTGACAAAAGTTGACTTTATTTACATGGAATCAGGAGATTCCATTTACATTGGAGAGTTCCCATTTCCACCCCCTGCCTGTCGCAAGGCAACAGAGTGATAACAGACTTCTGTCCACAGAGGTGGAGTGGATTCCCACCAAGTCCCGCACTCTGGTGGGCACCCTCTCCTCCTTCTTCTTCACCTTCGGTCAGATGGTCCTGGCAGGCATCGCCCACAGCCTCAGGGACTGGCGCAAGCTGCAGGTGGCTGTCTGTGCCCCATTCTTCCTCTTCTTCCTCTACAGTTGGTGAGTTTACTATGTTACTGTACCACTGTGCTGGTACTTATCATGAATGAACCATGTTACTGTACCACCGTACTGGTACTTATCATTAATTAACCATGTTACTGTACCACCGTACTGGTACTTATCATTAATTAACCATGTTACTGTACCACCGTACTGGTACTTATCATTAATTAACCATGTTACTGTACCACCGTACTGGTACTTATCATTAATTAACCATGTTACTGTACCACCGTACTGGTACTTATCATTAATTAACCATGTTACTGTACCACTGTGCTGGTACTTATCATTAATGAACCATGTTACTGTACCACCGTACTGGTACTTATCATTAATTAACCATGTTACTGTACCACCGTACTGGTACTTATCATTAATTAACCATGTTACTGTACCACCGTACTGGTACTTATCATTAATTAACCATGTTACTGTACCACCGTACTGGTACTAATCAGCAGTATCCATATCATGAATGAACAATCCAGGATGTCTCACCTTTTGATTGATGGGTGAATGGCAGTCTTTGAGGAGTTTCCAGAGACAACGTCTCTTGTGTTTTCCTAACTGGTCCTAAGGTGGTACTCTGAGTCTGCCCGCTGGCTAGTGCTAAATCGCAGGTCTGACGAGGCCCTGAAACACATCCACCGTGTGGCCAGGATCAACCGCAAACCTGAGATGGTAGAGAAGATCACCCTGGAGGTGAGAGAGCTGGCTGGGGTACAATGAAGGACACGGGCATATTGAGGGGTTCCTGGAAGGGTGAGGTGATATTGGAGCTCAGAGAAGTATTATGACCTGTGTGTGTGTGTGTCTGTCTGTCTGTGTGTGTGTGTGTGTGTGTGCGTATGCGTGTGTGCATGCGGCTATGTGTGTGGCTGTGTGTGTTTGCGTGTGTGTGTTTGTGCATGTGCATGTGTGTGATTACAGGTTCTGGAATGTCACATGCACAAAGAGGTCCAATCGAGTAAGACCACCCACACAGCATACGACTTGATACGCACCACAGTGATGAGAAGAATATCTCTTTGTCTTATGGTTGTTTGGTAAGGTTCATTTTGTCATTCCAGTTACCTTTGTACCTATTCTTATCTGCTAAACCTTCAAGTGATCCGATTGACCTCTCACCCCACAGGTTCTCTACCAGCTTCGCCTACTACGGCCTAGCAATGGACCTGCAGAAGTTTGGGGTGAACATCTACCTGATCCAGATCATCTTTGGGATGGTGGACTTCCCCGCCAAGCTGGTAGCTCTGGGGAGTCTTACCTTCCTGGGTCGGAGGATCACTCAGGGAACATGTCTCCTCATGTCTGCCCTGATGATATTCGCCAACACCTTCGTCCCCACAGGTTAGATGGTCACACAACTTTATGTTGGCTACTGTGCTCACGTCTAATTAAATGCCATTGGTCGTGTCTTTGATAATCTAATTCAGATCACCAAATGTAGCTATAAGAACAGTTGTTGACAAGGATTAACAATGACAACCCCTTTGATCCCAACACAGACATGCAGTCTATTAGGACTACTCTGGCTTGTCTGGGGAAGGCCTTCACCTCCTCATCCTTCACATGTATTTACCTGTTTACTGGAGAGCTTTACCCCACTGTCATCAGGTACCTCCCTCATTAGACAACACTACCTCACTGTCATCAGGTACCACCCTCATTAGACAACACTACCCCACTGTCATCAGGTACCTCCCTCATTAGACAACACTACCCCACTGTCATCAGGTACCTCCCTCATTAGACAACACTACCCCACTGTCATCAGGTACCTCCCTCATTAGACAACACTACCCCACTGTCATCAGGTACCACCCTCATTAGACAACCCTACCTCACTGTCATCAGGTACCACCCTCATTAGACAACCCTACCTCACTGTCATCAGGTACCACCCTCATTAGACAACCCTTAGTATGAGGTACAATGTTATTGCTGGGGTTTATTAACACAGTAGTATCATACATGTCTCCCGAGTGGCGCAGGGGTCTAAGGCACTGCATCGCAGTGCTAGCTGTGCCACTAGAGATCCTGGTTCGAATCCAGGCTCTGTCGTAGCCGGCCGCGACCGGGAGACCCATGGGGCGGCGCACAATTGGCCCAGCGTCGTCCAGGGTAGGGGAGGGAATGGCCGGCAGGGGATGTAGCTCAGTTGGTAGAGCATGGCGTTTGCAACGCCAGGGTTGTGGGTTCGATAAAATAATGTATGCGCTAACTGTAAGTCGCTCTGGATAAGAGCGTCTGCTAAATGACTAAAAATGTAAAATGTAAATACATCTACAGTGCCTTCAGAAAGTATTCACACCCCTTGACTTTTTCCACATTTTGTTGTGTTACAGCCTGAATTTAAAACTGATTAAATTGAAATGTTGTGTCACTGGCCTACACACAATACCCCATAATGTCAAAGTTGAATTATGAATGAAAAGCTGAAATGTCTTGTGTCGATAAGTATTCAACCCCTTTGTTATGGCAAGCCTAAATACGTTCTGGAGTAAAAATGTGCTTAACAAGGCACATAATAAGTTGCATGAACTCAATCTGTGTGCAATAATAGTGTTTAACATGATTTTTGAATGACTACCTCATCTCTGTACCCTGCACATACAATTATCTGTAAGGTCCCTCAGTCGAGCAGTGAATTTCAAACACAGATTCAACAACAAAGACCAGGGAGGTTTTCCAATGCCTTGCAAAGAAGGGCACCTATTATTAGATGGGTAAAAATAAGAAAAGCAGACATTGAATATCCCTTTGAGAATGGTGAAGTTATTAAATACACTTTGGATGGTGTATCAATACACCCAGTCACTACAAAGATACAGGCATCCTTCCTAACTCAGTTGCCGGAGAGGAAGGAAACCGCTCAGGGATTTCACCATGAGGCCAATGGTGACTTTAAAACAGTTACAGAGTTTAATGGCTGTGATAGGAGAAAACTGAAGATGGATCAACAACATTGTAGTTACTCCACAATGCTAACCTAATTGACAGAGTGAAAAGAAGGAAGCCTGAACATAATAAAAAATATTCCAAAACATGCATTCTGTTTGCAACAAGGCACTAAAGTACAGGCAAAATCCCAGAGGAAAACCTGGTTCAGTCTGCTTTCCACTAGACACTAGGAGATTAATTCACCTTTCAGCAGGACAATAACCTAAAACACAAGGCCAAATCTACACTGGAGTTGCTTACCAAGAAGACAGTGAATGTTCCTGAGTGGCTGAGTAACAATTTTGACATAAATAGCCTTGAATATCTATGGCAAGACCTGAAAATGGTTGTCCAGCAATGATCAACAACAAATTTGACAGCGCTTGAAGAATTTCAAAAAGAACAAATGGGCAAATATTGCACAATCCAGGTGTGCAAAGCTCTTAGAGACGTACCCAGAAAGACTCATAGCTGTAGTCGCTGCCAAAGGTGATTCTAACATGTATTGACTCAGGGGTGTGAATACTTAGGTAAATGAGATATTTCTGTTTTTAATTTGCAATTTCTAAAAACATGTTTTCACTTTGTCATTATTGGGTATTGTGTGTAGATGGGGGAGAACATAATATATTTAATCAATTTTAAATTCAGGCAGTAACACAACAAAATGTGGTATAAGTCAAGAGGTATGAATACTTTCTGAAGGCACTATATCTGGAACAGTGTATGAATAAAAACACAAAGTATGAAACTATTAAAGTATGAATACATTTCCCATTTTAATCTCCTCTCCTTCCTCCTCCTCCTCTCCCCCCTCCTCTCCCTACTTCTCTTCCTCCTCCTCCTCCTCCTCCTCCCCCTCTCTACTTCTCCTCCTCCTCCTCCTCCTCCTCCTCCTCCTCCTCCCTCTGCAGACAGACAGGAATGGGCTTTACCTCCACCATGGCCAGGGTGGGCTCCATGGCAGCGCCCGCTGTGCTGATCCTGGAAGAGGTGCTGCCCGCTCTCCCCAGTATGATCTATGGAGGTGCTGCTGTGGTGGCTGGCATCATCGCCTTTTTCCTCCCTGAAACCCTCGACATCCCTCTTCCTGACACCATCGAGGATGTGGAGGAGAAATGGTAAGGTTGTGAGGCTGTGACCCTGCATATAATTGACCTCTGTCTCAGACATGTTTTGGAATATGATGGAAATGTGTGTTTTCCAGGGCTAGTAAGAAGCCGGATGCAGAGAAACTAGCTGAAAAGGAGACAGTGGCCCTTCGGGAGATGAAGGAGGGAGCAGTTGAGGGGGATGGGGAAATCACGGGACTCAAAGCTCTGTGAGAAACAAACTGATGAGAATAATGTAGAAGAGGAGGTATGACTTTACTTTGTCGGCAAACGCTAGCAAACTGTTATATGTTGGGTAGCAATTTAAAGACAGATGCATGCAACTGTTTAGAGAACTAGATTATTCAACTGAAACCAAAATGGGAACAGATTAGAACAGAATAGTTGATTGTATGCAGGAGATACTGGTGTTTCTTTGCTACGCCATCTTTGTTCTGTTTGTCTTTGTCTGATTGATGTATGGTTTCTTTGGCACAAGGTTGAAATGATCAACAGTGATCCTGTTGACAACTGCTGCCAATCTCATAACATTTTACACTTGGAAAAACCTTAACTTGTATATTCCTGTATGTGATTTTTTGTTGTTGTTGTTACCTACATTTTTTATTCAAAATGTAGATAGATAATAAATTAGGCACTTTAGGACATTTTATGACTTCAATATGCAGTTTATGGTGCTTGTTTTGATGACATTTGCTGCATTGTGGAACTATTTTCGATTGGTCATTATAGAACGAGATTTAGATCTTGAAAATGTGTTGTCAGCCTAGGGGCATTATTGTAGCTTAATCCAAAATAAACAGTAGGCCTATGTGGTTTTGCTTTGTGCAGTTCTTAAAAGGTAGAAGCCAGTTTCCCCAAGTGACAATATTCCATTTTCAAATAATGTGTGTGTATGTGTGTGTGCCCGCGTGCGTTTGTTTGTGTGTGCACTGAACATGCCCAAGTATATGCTAAATAAGTATGGTAATTGAGCTATTTATTGGCAGATAGCTTCCATTTATTGAATGAATAAGTTACAATGATTGAGCTTTGTAATACTCGTTTAGTAGCCCTGCCCAGCTGCTGGCCGAGCTCAGCCGCGGAACAGGTAATACAGGTGAGACCGAGCTGTGCCGATTTGTCCCGCATAGGCTACACACCGTCATCGTTGGCAGAAAGCAAAACAGCCACAAACCCCTTCAGTATCAGGAGGGTAACCTTTCCAGTTCCCCTTTGAACAGAACATCGCATTTGAACAGAACAGAAGAGTAACGACAAGGTAAGATTTTAACTAGGCCTACCAAATAATGTATTTAACTGATTTGTAACATTTCATTTAGGATTTTCTCAACACCGTTGAGTTATGCAGAAAGCTAGCCTTGACGTTCAGTCCTAGTTATGTCACGTGCTCGAAACAAGTGCAGTAGGCTCCCGTGTTAGTCACCTTTGAACAGAACAGCAGGAACTGACCCGTAACTGTGATTCGGAGTTTATAAGCTTTAAACGACTGTAGCTGAGAGAAACATTCCCAACACGAACTATTAACGCCTATTCACACATACCCCCCCCCCCCCCCCCATGAAATAATCATAACAATATTTTCATGTATTTTCAATACTGGAACGCAAAGTTTTTGTAGGCCTTCTGAAATGTTAAAAGAAAGAGCAACCTACCTATAAGCTTTGAGTAGAAAAGGACAATGAAATGACCTCCAGAATCTGTCTCAGTAGGGCTAAACGTCAATTCAAGACATTATTCAAAGTATAACAAAGTGATAATAGTTGCTGTAACATTTAGGACGTAGGACTGTAATAGCGTATTTTAATAAATACAATATATATACAAAAGTATGTGGACACCCCTTCAAATTAGTGGATTCGGCTATTTCAGCCACACCCGTTGCTGACAGGTGTATAAAATTGAGCACACAGCCATGCAATCGCCATAGACAAATATTGGCAGTAGAATGGGCTTACTGAAGAGCTCAGTGACTTTCAACGTGGCACCGTCATAGGATGCCACCTTTCCAACAAGTCAGTTCATCAAATTTCTGGGCTGCTAGAGCTGCCCGGTCAACTGTAAGTGCTGTTATTGTGAAGTGGAAATGTCTAGGAGCAACAACGCAGCCGAAAAGTGGTAGGCCACACAAGCTCACAGAACGGGACTGCCGAGTGCTGAAGCGCGTAGCGTGTTAAATCGTCTGTCCTCAGTTGCAACACTCACTACCGAGTTCCAAACTGCCTCTGGAAGCAATGTCAGCACAATAACTGTTCCTTGGGAGCTTCATGAAATGGGTTGCCTTGTCGAGCAGCCGCACACAAGCCTAAGATCACCACGCGCAATGCCAAGCGTTTGCTGGAGTGGTGTAAAGCTTGCCGCCATTGGACTCTGGAGCAGTGGAAACACGTTCTCTGGAGTGATGAATCAGGCTTCACCATCTGGCAGTCCGACTGACGAATCTGGGTTTGGCGGATGCCAGGAGAACGCTACCTGACCCCAATGCATAGTGCCAACTGTAAAGTTTGGTGGAGGAGGAATAATGGTCCAGGCTGTTTTTCGTGGATCGGGCTCGGCCCGTTAGTTCCGGCCCGTTAGTTACTTTTAAATACATTTGCAAAAATGTCTAAAAACCTGTTTTTGCTTCGTAATGATGGGGTATTGTGTGTAGATTGATTGAGGATTTTTTTTTTACATCCATTTTAGAATAAGGCTGTAACGTAACAACATTTGGAAAAAGGGAAGGAGTCTGAATACTTTCCGAATGCACTGTATATTATTATTATTATTATTATTATTATTATTATTATTATTTCAGACGTGTTTGTGACCTACAGTAATATCTCCTACTGTGAAATAGATGTCTGCCCCACTCGGTCCAGACATGCCTATGCCAGTACCTAAACCACGGGCTTGCTACAAGCGGTCTGGCGTGAGTTTACAGAGCCAGCTGTCTTCTGAGCGGTGAGTGATCCTCGTGATGTCCACTTGTTTTTACCAAACACCTGATACGTTCTTGGGGATTGTTTTCTAATTCTTTGTTTTTACACTTGTTTTAAAGGGATTTGATACATGATACACCTGATACGGGAATTCATAGCAAAGGTAGGCCCTGGTGCTTATCATGATAACAATGACATATTTATAATAATAAAGATTGGGACTAGATATACATTTGAAACAAGATTAGTTTATATTTTATCAGGCTAAACAAGATTTGTTCCGTGCAAGTCATAAAATAGTCTTCCCCACTTGTTACTCAAGGTCAAGGAGCTCAAGGAAGTCAAGGAAGTGCATACTATGTGATACTGAGCTGGAGTCCAGTAAAGCATTCCTACAGCTAAACATAGCTTCAGTGTACTGTCACAATAGCAACACAAGAAAAACTGGTTTTGTCCTGAACACAAACACTTGTGATTCAGAGACAGACTTCTGAAATACTTTTTTCACCAGACAACACAGCATCTTTTACTGTACACCATTTTATCTTGGTTTCACAGGTATTCCACCCGCAAATGATTTGCAGGCAGAAAATGAAGACAACCCTGCCATTATCCTAAATAAGCCTCCAGTCAGTCCTGCCATTACCAGTCCAGCTGACCAGAATCCAAGCCAGCGTAACTTCCCTCTCTTCAGATCTGATTCTGGAGTGACTCCATCTTACCCAGTACTGGACAGTAATGAGCCAGATGGACTCCTTGACAGATCTGCCTGGTTGTCCCTCTCTCCACACAGTCCGGCTGCAGATACTGACCCCTACGTCAGTCCGGCTGCAGATACTGACCCCTACGTCAGTCCGGCTGCAGATACTGACCCCTACGTCAGTCCGGCTGCAGATACTGACCCCTACGTCAGTCCGGCTGCAGATACTGACCCCTACGTCAGTCCGGCTGCAGATACTGACCCCTACGTCAGTCCGGCTGCAGATACTGACCCCTACGTCAGTCCGGCTGCAGATACTGACCCCTACGTCAGTCCGGCTGCAGATATTGACCCCTACGTCAGTCCGGCTGCAGATATTGACCCCTACGTCAGTCCGGCTGCAGATACTGACCCCTACGTCAGTCCGGCTGCAGATACTGGCCCCTACGTCAGTCCGGCTGCAGATACTGACCCCTACGTCAGTCCGGCTGCAGATTATGACCCCTACGTCAGTCCGGCTGCAGATACTGACCCCTACGTCAGTCCGGCTGCAGATACTGACCCCTACGTCAGTCCGGCTGCAGATACTGACCCCTACGTCAGTCCGGCTGCGGATACTGACCCCTACGTCAGTCCAGCTGCAGATTATGACCCCTATGTCACTGTCGTAGCTGACTGGGAAAAAGACCCTGGATCCGGATCTGAATCGTCCATTGATGACGATGCCGTTACTGGAGAAATAAAGAACCCATCCCACATGAACAAGTGAGTATCAAAGGACAGGTGCAAAAGCATAGGCCACAGAACAGCATAGGCCATGGCTAAAGGCAGGGAAGAACACTACCGCTCAAAAGTTTTACAACACCTACTCATTCAAGAGTTTTTCTTTATTTTTGCTGTATTCTACATTGTAGAATAATTCCATATGTGTTATTTCATAGTTTTGATGTCTTCACTATTATTCTAGAATGTAGAAAATAGTAAAAACAAAGAAAAATCCTTGAATGAGTAGGTGTTCTAAAACTTTTGACCGGTAGTGTATATCAATGTATTTAACTACATGTAACAAGCTACAGGTCACACGAACACGAATTGGTGGTAGAAATGTTGAAATGGCTTTGGGTCATTCTTCTATGCCTCTTACAGTGTGGCGTCAGGGCAGGTTTGTATTGCTGTTGTCTCCAGTCAAGAAACCTATCAACCTCCTGTGGACAAGGAGTCTATGCAGACCAGACCTCTCAAACAGAAGATCCCACGGTACGTCACAGCACCCCATCACAACAGTCAGACAGACAGGAAGTTAACAGACAGCCTTCATGGGGAGTTCAATTAGAGTAAAATGATACCTAATCAACTGAGATTTTAAGATAGTCACTTACCAATATTGATACAATTTCAATGGGTTTTCAATATTATTGCATGGTTTTAAGGCTATGATAGAATTGAAAACCAATTGAAATGATAATTTCGGGTGTGGCTCACTTGGCAGAGCGTGGCACTTGCAACACCAGGGTTGTGGTTTTGATTCCCACAGGGGGACCAGTATGAAAATGTATGCACTCACTACTGTAAGCCGCTCTGGATGAGAGCATCTGCTAAATGACTGTAATGTAAATGTAAAAATGTGTCGCCGGATCAAACATGGAACAGTAGCTATTTGATTTTGAGCTTGATATACTTGTTTGTCTAATCACCTTTGAACTCTACAAGCGCCTTTGTTTACCTATTCAGATCACTGTTATTACACGTGCCTATACTTCCTGCTTCCTCCCCACTAAGAATGTTCTCACCTGCGTAGCAGTGCTCTGTGCAAGACATGAAGTGTGTTATGCAACAGGCGTCTTGTAATGAACCCATGAGATACTGTACAAGCAGTGGGTCTGTAATTAATGTGTAGCATATTTGGTCAAGATAGCTGCCAGTTAATGAAATATTTGTCAAGTTTCTTTGAGATAACTTCTTCTGTCTCTGTCCACAGTGCGGCCACCATCCGTGTCAGCAGGAGAAAACAGGCAGCAGTGAGTGGTGGTGCTACCCAGGTAGCAGAGTCCTCTCGTAGGGAGAATGTGGTGTCCCGATCCAGCTGGCTGGATGTATGGAAAGGCCGCAGGTAATGTGGGACACTGTGGGTTATATGTGCTGTTACTGTTCAACAACACCTTACTGAAATCACACTCTCTGATATGACATTTCAGATTATTTTCCAAATGTCATTGCCTAATTTCTATGTATTTGAAAATGGTTCCTGAAGGCACAATGTTCTGTGGGCCACCCTGGATGGACCGTTGGTATCACTTTGGAAGAAACGCACAGTGAGTGAATTTCTAGCACCACCATGGTCCAATGGACCCTTAATTTTTGACTAGAACTAAGGCATAATGTTGTTATAACATTATTGTCTCTCCCAGGCTATGCCAGTGATCTGTATCTCACACTATTCCCTCTTTTTCTGTGCTGCAGGACAAGTTCACAGACTTAGTGTTCCATGTGTCAAGCATCACCAACGTCTGCAAGCAGGACAAAGGACGCTTCTCCCTTTACTTCCGCAAGAAGCACTTTGAGTTCATGGCGCACAACGAAGGTAAGCTGCTGATGTATGTTGACTCTCTTTCTGGTTCCTACTGTTTTTGGTGCTTTGCCCTGTCTCTGAGCATCTCCACTCCTCTCTCCCTGGTCTCAGCGGTGCAGGAGGGCTGGGTGACGTCCCTCCTGGCCTCTCGTGGATGGGACCCCGCAGCCCCTCCGGAGCAGCATGGAGCCCTGACCATGAAGGACCCTCGCAGCAGCAGAGTGTACGCTGCCATCTGTGGACACAACCTGTGGATCTACAACAATAAAGAGGTGATGAAAGGAACAGGGCTCTGCTAAGCTCCACCACTATGTGATTGTTATGACGGTTCAGGAGGATATCTTCAGTGTATTTTGTGTTGTTCAGTTCATGTTATTTGTGCCATGCAGGACTTCCAATTGGGGGTTGGGATGACCTATGTGTCCATGAACGTGGCTTCCGTGAAGCAGACTGGCCGTCATAACTTCTGCCTCATCACACCGTACAAAACCTTCAAGTGAGTGTCCGTCTCTCAGTCTCAGCCCCAGACTCAGTCTCAGCCCCAGCCTCAGCCCCAGCCCCAGGCTCACCCCATCCCCAGCCTCAGCCCCAGCCCCAGACTCAGTCTCAGCCCCAGACTCAGTCTCAGCCCCAGTCTCAGCCCCAGTCTCAGCCCCATCCCCAGCCTCAGCCCCAGCCCCAGGCTCAGCCCCAGCATCAACCCCAGCCTCAGCCTCAGCACCAGCCTCAGACTCAGCCCCAGCCTCAGCCCCAGTCTCAGTCTCAGTCTCAGCACCAGCCTCAGCACCAGCCTCAGCCCCAGTCTCAGTCTCAGTCTCAGCACCAGCCTCAGCACCAGCCTCAGCACCAGCCTCAGCCCCAGTCTCAGCCCCAGTCTCAGTCTCAGTCTCAGTCTCAGTCTCAGCACCAGCCTCAGCCCCAGTCTCAGTCTCAGCCCCAGCCTCAGCCCCAGCCCCAGCCCCAGCCCCTGCCTCAGCCCCAGCCCCAGCCCCAGCCTCAGCCCCTGCCTCAGCCCCAGCCCCAGTCTCAACCCCAGCCTACACTGCTGCCTTCAACCAGCAGAGGACAGTGTAGTTAATCTGATTTTTGTTTAGATCCCTTCCAAACTTGTGTAATTACACAACAGCTCTTCTATCAGAGTATCCCAGTGTCTGGGCTGTGCATGTGAGCGCCTTGCTTTACTACTGAGAAACATGGTCTTTGTATCTCTAGTTTCTCCACAGACTCGTCGAGGGAGCTGGCCGTGTGGCTGGGGAGCCTGAATCAGGTGATCCTCAGTGCCCTGTCATGCAGCGAGGTGGCCCACCGACTCTGGGCCAACCCATGGAACAAAGTGTGTGCCGACTGTGGCAGTGCCAACCCTGAGTGGGCCTCAGTCAACCTGCTGGTGGTCATCTGTGAGGCCTGTGCAGGTGAGCTGGGACTGCGGTTAGACTCAGGATGTGTACGGACTGCTCTGTATGACCTATGTTAATGCTGTACCTATTGTTTCTCTAAGGTCAGCATCGCTCTTTGGGCATCCATGTCTCCAAAGTGAGAAGCCTGAAGTTGGACAGTAAAGTGTGGACCGAACCTCTGATTCTGGTGAGATGACTTTCCCTGTAACAGTGCTGCAGTAAACAGTGAATTCGGAAAGTATTCAGACCCCTTGACTTTTTCCACATTTTGTTACGTTACAGCCATATTCTAAAATGGATGTAAAACATTTATTTTAGAAACCCAAAAATGTCTTAATCAATCTACACACAATACCCCATAACGACAAAAAAAAATAAGCAATTTTAGCATATATATTTTTTAAACTCCGGAAATATCACATTTACATAAGTATTCAGACCCTTTACTCAGTACTTTGTTGAAGCACCTTTGGCAGCGATTACAGCCTTGAGTCTTCTTGGGTATGATGCTACAAGCTTGGCACACCTGTATTTGGGGAGTTTCTCCCATTCTTCTCTGCAGATCCTCTCAAGCTCTGTCAGGTTGGAGGGGGAGTGTGGCTGCACAGCTATTTTCAGGTCTCTCCAGAGATGTTCAATCGGGTTCAAGTCCGGGCTCTGGCTGGGCCGCTCAAGGACATTCAGAGACTTGTCCCGAAGCCACTACTGCATTGTCTTGGCTGTGTGCTTAGGGTCGTTGTCCTGTTGGAAGGTGAACCTTCGCCCCAGTCTGAGGTCCTGAGCGCTCTGGAGCAGGTTTTCATCAAGGATCTCTCTGTACTTTGCTCTGTTCATCTTTCCCTCGATCCTGACTAGTCTCCCAGTCCCTGCCTCTGAAAAACATCCCTACAGCATGATGCTACCGCCACCATGCTTCACCGTAGGGATGGTGCCAGGTTTCCTCCAGACGTCACACTTGGCATTCAGGCCAAAGAGTTCAATCTTGGTTTCATCAGACCAGATAATCTTGTTTCTCATGGTCTGAGAGTCCTTTAGGTGCCTTTTGGCAAACTCCAAGTGGGCTGTCATGTGCCTTTTACTGAGGAGTGGCTTCCTTCCGTCTGGCCACTCTACCATAAAGGCCTGATTGGTGGAGTGCTGCAGAGATGGTTGTCCTTCTAGAAGGTTCTCCCATCTCCACAGATGAACTCTGGAGCTCTGTCAGTGACCATCGGGTTCTTGGTCACCTCCCTGACCAAGGCCCTTCTCCCCCGATTGCTCAGTTTGGGCGGGCAGCCAGCTCTAGGAAGAGTCTTGGTGGTTCCAAACTTCTTCCATTTAAGAATGATGTAGGCCACTGTGTTCTTGGGGACGTTCAATGCTGCAGAAATGTTTTTGTACCCTTCCCCAGATCTGTGCCTCGACACAAACCTGTCTCGGAGCACTACGGACAATTCCTTCGACCTCATGGCTTGATTTTTGTTCTGACATGCACAGGTGTGTGCCTTTCCAAATAATTTCCAATCAATTGAATTTACCACAGGGGGACCCTAATCAAATTGTAGAACCATCTCAAGGATGATCAATGGAAACAGGATGCACCGGAGCTCAATTTCCAGTCTCATAGCAAAGGATCCGAATACTTATGTAAATAAGGTACAGTGCTATGAAAAAGTATTTGCCCCCTTTCTAATTTTCTCTGCTTTTGCATATTTGTGATACTGTGTCACGCCCTGACTCTGGGGACTCTTATTTGTTGAGTCAGGGTGTGATTTTCTATGTTGTGTAGTTCTATGTTTTCTATCTAGTATGTCTAGATCTATGTTTGGCCGGGTGTGTTTCCCAATCAGAGGCAGCTGTCGCTCGTTGTCTCTGATTGGGGAGCATACTTAGGCAGCCTATTGGCACTAGTGGGTTGTGGGATCTTGTTCCGTGTGAGGTTTGTTGTGTGTACCTTAGGACGTCACGTATCGTTGGTTTATTGTTTTGTCGTTGTGTTTATTCGTTAAATAAACATGTATGCATATCACGCTGCGCCTTGGTCTGACCCGTCTATGAACGAACGTGACAGATCTTCAACCAAAACCTAATATTAGATAAAGGGAACAAAAGTGAACAAATAACACAACAATTACATATTTATTTCATTTATTTCATAAACAAAGTTATGCAACACCCAATTCCCCTGTGTGAAAAAGTAATTGCCCCCTTACACTCAATAACTGGTTGTGCCAACTTTAGCTGGCGAAAACCAAACACTGCATTCCACAGTAAGAACATCATACCAAAGGTCAAGCATGGTGGTGGTGGTGTGATGGTTTGGGGATGCTTTGCTGCCTCAGGACCTGGACGACTTGCCTTAATAGAAGGAACCATGAATTCTGCTCTGTATCAGAGAATTCTACAGGAGAATGTCAGACCATCCGTCTGTGAGCTGAAGCTGAAGCGCAGCTGGGTCATGCAGCAAGACAATGATCCAAAACACACAATCAAGTCTACATGAAAATTGCTAAAAAGCAACAAATTGGAAGTTTTGGAATGGCCTAGTCAAAGTCCAGACCTAATCCCAATTGAGATGTTGTGGCAGGACTTGAAACGAGCAGTTCATGCTTGTAAACCCACACGTCACTGAGTTAAAGCAGTTCTGCATGGAAGAGTGGGCCAAAATTCCTCCACAGCGACGTAAGAGACTGATCAACAACTACAGGAAGTATTTGGTTGGAGTCATTGCAGCTAAAGGTGGCACAACCAGTTATTGAGTGTAAGGGGGCAATTACTTTTTCACACAGGGGAATTGGGTGTTGCATAACTTTGTTTATGAAATAAATGAAATAAATATGTAATTGTTGTGTTATTTGTTCACTTTTGTTCCCTTTATCTAATATTAGGTTTTGGTTGAAGATCTGATAACATTCAGTATCACAAAATGCAAAAGTAGAGAAAATTAGAAAGGGGGCAAATACTTTTTCATAGCACTGTATTTCTGTTTTTTTATTTTATAAATTTGCAACAATTTATTAAAACCTGTTTTTGC